TCGGGTCCCGACCAATTCGGGTCGCGACCAGAGTCGCGGAACGAATTAAGTTCGTGAACCGAGGTACCACTGTATAGTAAAAGCTTAGACAACTCTTCTACAACATACTATTTGCTCATTTATCTCATCAGGCATAACTGACACTCCAAGGTCTCTCATTTTCTTAAAATGACTCTGCTAGTTTTCTCTTGCCATTTCTTAGTGGGAACACCATCCCCAAATCCCTTTATGTTTTCCCCCTGCATTTCTCACCATTACCCATGTGGGCTAGGGCAGCAGGGAGTTGGCTACACATTCCCCAACCCATCCTATATGATCTTGATGTTTTCCTTCACCTTTTAAACCACCTACTAAAATCTATGCATTAGTTAACTCGTTTGTTCCTGTCCCCAGCTAAATTTGCTTTCATTTATCATCTGTAGCTTCTTATCTACATCTAAATTTAAACTATAAGGTTCTTGATGCATAGACCCTTATTTTGCTTTTGAAAAACCAGTAAGTAACATATTCACTGTGTGAAATTATAATGAGCAATAAGCAATTTTCACACTTTCCCCTATGGAAAACCTCCTTCTATCTAGGAAATGTGCAACATTTCAAACAGCCCTTAATTTGTTGTGAACTTGAGGCAAAAAAGAAAATGTCCTTCTCTGACATAAATGCTTTAAAGTTATAAAAGAGCTCTACTTTGTTCTAGAGAAATGGGCAGCAAGCCTACCAATACTTTGAAGAAATATGAAGTCAGCTAGACTCCAAGCTCAATATGAAGGCTAATAAATAACAAGAGACCTAAGGCTTGACGAATAAATGATCAGGAAATATCTGCAGAAAATCCAGAACCAGATCCTGAGAGTCCCCAATATCAGAATGAGACCTTGGCATAAAACAAGATCAATCTTTTGATAGGATTATCATCTTATGTAAGAAATTACCTACACTGGTCCACTGGCCCACTATTAGTCTAGGCAATTAGCCATTCAGCCTTCTTTAGTCGCAGGCAGAAGATCTCAGGTGCTATTACTGAAATCTCTGTAACTCAGTGATGGGCAACCTTTTTTTGGTCAAAGACTGCATTTCTAACAATGTAATCTATTGGGGCCTCATAACATGCTCATGATACATGGAGAAAGTGATGGGTGTGGCTACTTAAGAATAAAATAATAGCTTCCCCTTTTTCCCTGATACTGACTTTTTTTCCTTATGATACCTTTATGTTCCTCTCTCTCTTCTATTTTCCACAACAGGCTCCAGAGAACCAACTGATCACTTTTGCCTGACATCTGAATTAATTGCTTGAAATTAGGCTGAGAGATATGAATATAGACCAAAGATCAAATCTGTAATGATACATGTGGCTTGTCCATTGTAAACACTGAGATACCTTGAAAGACTCTATTGATATTTTTTATCCAAGTTTAACAACAGCTGGAATATTTGTGAAAGGATTCCCTGAGAAGTATCTCTGATGTTGTTAGGGTACTTCTAGTGTAAGACTGATATTGCTCAGAATGTAGCTCTGCTGGCTTGCATTTCTACTTTTCTGCATCTGTAATATTTATTCTGTTTATGGCTTGTACATGAGACACTACTGTGATTATAAACATAGTACATTTCTAGTGTTTTTGAC